GAAAAGCCATGAACCCTAGACCCTACAAAACCTACAAACCCGACAAACCCTAAACCCGAAACCCTGCAACATCTAAACCCTATTTTTTATTCTGCCAACCAGAATGGGCTCAGGGGTGCTTGGGGAGCCCCTCAACATAGAGAGCCTTAATAGTTAGAAAAAGTTGTTGGAAGGTTTATAGGGTTTAGGATTTAGGGTGCCTTAATAATTAAGATAGGTTTTGGGGGTTTGGGGCTTAGGATTTAAGGGGCCTCAATAGTTAGAATAGGTTTTTGGGTGGTTCAGGGTCTAGGATTTAGGGGACCCTCACAGCTAGAATAGGTTTTTGGGGTTTGGGGTTTAGGTGCTTCCGGGGTTCCCCAAAAAATGCCCTATCCGCTAGGATGGCTTTCTTCTCATAGGGTTTAGGGTTTAGGGTTTAGGGTTTCTCAGCAATAGAAAGATGCAAACCGTGAGCGATCTCCGCAATAAGCTTTCGACGGGACTGAGAGTCCTCTCTGAAGTGGTAGCCGTCGTTGTAGAGCGGGAGGTCGCAACAGTAAGAATGCATACTCGACACGGCGAGTGCTTTACGGACCGCTTCGTCAAAGATGCATTTCATGCATTCATCGAATTGCTTGGGTAGTCCGTATACGAAGCCGCTGATTATGGCCTTGGGGTTGACGCACTTTAGGGTTTTAGGTTAGGGTTTAGGGTTTAGGGTTTAAGGGCTCAGGGTTTAGGGTTTAGGGTTTAGGACCTTGCAACCGTTAGAGTGGGTTTGCGGCGGATATGACAAGATATTTACATAGAGGGAGAAGCACTGCGAAACGGTTTAAGGGTTTAGGGGTTTAGGGTTTAGGGTTTCGGGTTTAGGGTTTAGGGTTCAGGGTTCAGGGTTCAGGGGTTGGGGCTCAGGGAAGGGTAGTCACGGAGCTTGATGAGGGTTTTTTGGGGTCGTATAACGTCGTAAGGATGCTGACCGAAGTTTGCACAATGAGCAAGCCATTGATTATCTGACCCTATCATGGCAGCTCATATGCCCTTGAATCCAAAGACCACATAGAACTGTGCACAACCCTCGAAACCTGTTTTATAAGTTATGGCAACTTAGACTACATTCCTCAAGTTAGACAGCGGCAACCGCGACCAAATCTCTAGAAGGGCTCCACAGGAGGTATGCAGGTAGATGGGGAATTCCCGAATAAGCAGTTTGGCACAAGGGTTCCTTAACCCCGTAATCCCTAAACCCCAAGCCCCAAACCTTAAACCCAAAACCCCAAAACCCTAAACCCCTAAACCCCAAAAACCCAAAACCCCAAATCCTAAACTCAAAACCCCAAAACCCCTAAACCCGAAACCCTAAACCCGAAACCCAAAAACCCCGAATGAGGCCCCTGAAGCGCCGAAAAAGGCGCGACAGCATCTCGCCGAAAAGCTTCGCGAGATTGGACTCCTCGGTCAGTTTGAGGTCTAGGGGTTTAGGGTTTAGGGGTTTGGAGGTTTAGGGTTTGGGGTTTAGGTGTTTTGGGTTGAGGGGTTTGGAGGTTTAGGGCTTAGGGTTTAGGGGTTTAGGGGTTTAGAGGTTCAGAGGTTTAGGGGTTTAGAGGTTTAGGGCTTAGGGTTTAGGGTTTAGGGTTTAGGGGTTTAGAGGTTTAGAGGTTTAGGGCTTAGGGTTTAAAGGTTTAGAGGTTTAGAGGTTTAGGGGTTTAGAGGTTTAGGGCTTAGGGTTTAGGGTTTAGGGGTTTAGAGGTTTAGGTGATTAAGGGTTTGGGGGTTCAGGGTTTCGGTTTGGACGTAACGTACATAGTTGCTGAGTTAAGAAGCCTCAAAGAATTTAAACTCTGAGTTCTATACCCAGAACTTCCAAAATCACTTCGTTAAGAAATGCACCTTAGGTTTTTGTAGATCCCAATATGGTTTAAGGTATACTCCTTAATTAAGGGATTTTGGAAGGTCTGGGCAGCGGGAACTTCAAGCCCTTTAGGGTTTGGGCTATGGGTTACTACGGTTTAGGGTTTAGGGTTTAGGGTTCAGGGTTTAGGGTTTAAGGGTTTGGGGTGGCATTTTCTTTCAAGCATCTTAGCGTTTTGCGCTGAGTACGTTTGTGAGTCGAGGCCTTAGGGTACCTTTTGTTGGGAGTTTAAGCTTTAGGCGTTCTTGGGTGGGTTTAGGATGTAGGGAAAGTTGCTGATCAATGCGGATCGCATCATTCCTTTGCTCATCCATCAGGCTAGAGTTTCAGGGTTCAGGGCTTGGGGTTGAGGGTGCAGGGCTTTGGTAGCAGCTGTAGCAGTTAGCAGCCGGAGCATTTGTAGAAGAAGCAGCAGCAGTCACAGTAAAACGAAGACCAGTCGTCGCCGTTGTTCATGGTAGCGGTAGTGGTCATCGCAAACCGCAACCCCTGAACCCTCAACCTTAAACCTGCCACACTCTCAGGTCGAAACCTGAGCCTAAACCCTAGACCCCTAAAACACTAAACCAAAAACCCTAAACCCTAAACCCCTACACCCTAAACCCGAAACCCTAAACCCGAAACCCTAAACCCCTACGCCCTAAACCCTAAACCCTAAACCCCTAAACCCTCAACCGCTAAACTCCTAAACCCTCAACCCCTAAAACCCCTAAACCCCTAAACCCTATAGATCCCTTTAAGGAACCCTAGAGACCCCTTTAAGGAACCCTATAGATCCCTTTAAAGAACCCTAGGCCCCAGGGAGGCCTCGGAGGCAGTGGGGTTCCCATCGGAATCGCCCTTGGCCGAAGGCGACGAAGCTCCAGGTGAAGAGGCGGCCACCTCTTCTGGGCTCTTGTTGAGGATTTAGGGTTAGGGATTTAGGGTTTAGGGGTTTAGGGGTTTAGGGATTTAGGGTTTAGGGGTTTAGGGATTTAGGGGTTTAAGATTTAGGGTTTAAGATTTAGGGTTTAGGGATTTAGGGTTTAGAGATTTAGGGATTTAGGGTTTAAGATTTAGGGTTTAGGGGTTTAGGGATTTAGGGTTTAAGGTTTAGGGTTTAAGATTTAGGGTTTAGGGGTTTAGGGATTTAGAGTTTAAGATTTAGGGTTTAGGGTTTAGGACTTTGGTTTTGGGTTTTGGGTTTAGGACTTAGGTTTTGGGTTTAGAAACTGATGTAAGTTGCCATAGCAAGGATACATATGGAAACCATGTGTATACATTCATATATATGTATATATAAATATATAATATGTACTGTAAATCCTTATGGTGACTGATCTTGAACCCCATTGACCAGAACCACCTTCTTGGAGGTTTCTTGGGTTTAGGGTTTGGGGTTGTGGTTTCAGCAAGGAGACGCCTTTTCTGTGGCCGATGGTCATTGAGGTTTTTTCGGTTTGAGGTGGAATTTATTTGGCAGGGGTCAGGGATGCACGCTACCTAGCCGTAGGCTGTCTGCTGGCTGCCTACGTCACGTCGAGAATTGAGCAACATAGAGTTCAATACACACGAAATTCATCCACAATGTAGTGATCTCTGACCCGTGAAACCATGATGCCCGAAGAGACTGCCTGCGCAGCCGCGAGCATCTCGTCGATGGATGTGTCCGTTGGACACATACGCTTCGCCTATGGCGACTTGGGGTATAAGCTGTATTCTTGGAGAATGAATAGCGGGTGGGGTTGTCGATCTATTGTTTATAATTATGTGATGACTACATCGCCAGTCTACCCCTGGCCATTCTTAGCCCTGATACATTACCTGTGTAATCTAATTACTCTACAGTTACAGCGGTTATTACAAATCACATGGCGTTGCATCTCAATGCGTTATAACACTACATTGGACTGCGTCACATACAAAACACACACGCCCGAACGCCGGCACACACACACACAGATATATATATATATATATACACACATGCACACACAATCATTGCCCGCACAAGCCCAGAGACAAATTCAAACAAACACACACACACACACACTGTCTGTGTGACTGACTGGCTGACTAATGACGTGTCAGGTGCAGTCTGGGTTGGATTTAGTTGTCTGTGGGACGGCTGTACACGAACAGCTCAACTTGCGATGACTGTGCATGGAAATCGCTTCAGGCTGCGGGTCGCTGACAAGAACAATAAGGCTTGCTGATCTGAGGCCGTAGCGAGCTGAATGCGGGAATTATGTTTACACAGCGACGACATCACATGATGGCACCATATACAGCTTGTAGGTGTAATTAGGATGTTTCAAACTTCGTTGCAGGTACAGGATCAAGCGTCCTTGATCCCGTCCCACCAATAGCTTCGTTGCGTGAAGTATGCCAAAGGTGCTGCATGCCCCTGCTGAAATTCGATTGTCTGGCACTGACACAAACTGATGTCCTAATGCAAAGCACACACACACACACAGGCACACTTGGCACAGTACGCACACACACACACACGCACATGTGTGTATGTGTGTGTCTGTATGTATGTATGTACGTACGTACGTACGTACGTACGTACGTACGTACGTACGTACGTACGTACGCAGGTATGTATGTATGTATGTATGTATGTATGTATGTATGTATGTGTGCGTGTATTCATCCATACCTAAAAAACATACATGCATGCATACATACATGCATGCATGCATACATACACACACGCACGAAAGCATGCAGGTACATTCACGGCATATTATGTTTTACATGCACACTACGTGTATAGATACAGTTTGTTGCTGGCTTTAGGGGTGTAGCGTTGCGACTCTCACACTGGCACAAAGCAGGCAAGGCTCCGCATGGTCCGGTCTCGTTGCAGAAAGTGAATGCGCATCCACCACCCAATAACTGAAAAGAAACCAGACCACCCCGAATCGCAGTTTTTCCTCACGACCACATAACAAAAGGCTTGAGACACCACGGTCGGCGAGCATGATGTGCCTGCAACCTTGCACTCCATGCTAAGGTTACTAAGGCGCGTCCTGTAACACAAATTTCAAATTTCTATTGGGACCGAAATTAGAAGCAAGCTTCGAGCCTCCTTCGAGCCCCACCTACTGAGCAAAAGCCCTCAGAATGAGAAGATGTTGGAATCCACGTAGCCCATGCTGCGCAAGGCTGGAATGCAAGCCTTCTCTAACATCACCGGAGGCCCACACATCAAGCATACGGTGTCCTCGCTGGCAGGAAACAGAGTGGCGTTGGTCATGGCTGGAGTCACAAAGCCCACGTGACCTTTCCACGCTGGGGTGTCGCTCTTTTCATCAGGGACTTTGTCGACGGTGAAGCTCAGCATGAAGCGGTCAGGGTGCTTGGCCGCCAACTCCTCAAGCACGTCTCGTGCAAGGATATCATCGGGCGTCTTGTTGGCGAACAGAAGTCGCACCGTGGTCTTGTCCTCCGGATTCCGGAGGATTGCTGCCAGCACCTGGTAACACGGCGTGATGCCGGTGCCGCCAGCGATCATTGACATCGCAGTGACAACGCGCGGCTTGCCATTCACAAGGCATCGACCCTTGCCTTGGTAGACGAACTCGCCGATGGGGCCCTTGACGTCGATCGAGTCCCCAATCTTCATATTGTCCAAGTGCTGAGACATCTTGCCACCCTCCGGAAAGCTCGGGTGCACACCCTTGAAGTAGACTTTCACAAGCAGGTCGACATGTCCCTTGGTGTTGTCATCTGTCATGGGCGTGTACGCCCGCATCACCGGCTTGCCATCCACCTTGGCTTTCAGTGTCATGTGCATGCCGGTGGGAAGCCCCAGTGTCATTGACGGAGAAGGCAGCTTGAAGCGGAAGATTCGGGTGTCGTGGCTCACAACAATCTTCTCGGAAAGCTGAAGCTGTTGGCTCTCTCGGGGATTCAAGAATGGTGCAGGTGACGTGAAAGGCTTGAGGAGCGCTCGTCGGAGACCACGGAGAGGCGTGAGGAGAGCGCCCAGGCCCCACAGCGACGATGAAAGAATGCCAAACAGAACTCTGCTAAAGCTCGGTAGAATCAAAGCAGCTTGAGCTTCTGTCGGAGCTGCCTTCAATGGGCCAAGGTAGTAGTCCTTCAGCATCTCCCAAGCACGCGAGGAATGCACTGCTTCGAAGTCCTCGGTGGCCTCGAGACCACCGGCAAGGAGGATGGAGGAAGCTCCCCCAGGGTGGTCTTGCAGATAGGGAGTGCCATCATAGACGTTGCCCTTCACGACGAACCAGCAGCTCTTCTCGTTGTCATGCTTCTTAACTTCCTCCATGCTGATTCCTGCAAGCCATTCCTCCGTGGACTGCACCAACTTGCCTGCCTTGGTAGGCTGGATGGCCGCAGCTTGGCTGGCAGAACTTGCACCAGCAGCACTCACGGAGTCTATCTTGGCGCCCTTCCACACCGCAGCCACCGGCCGCCATGGAGCCACGCCAGTCTTCCCCGGTGTTGCTTCCACGGCAAAGCTTTCGTTGAACTGCCCCGCTTGATCGGTCATCCAGCCACCTGGCATGGAGCCCTGAGTTGGATGCTCGAACCACATCCTGCTTCCTTCCCGGTGGATCTTGATTCGGTAAATGGGATTGTTCAACATGCCCATAACTGTCCAAGTGAGTTGCACAGGCTGGCAATTCTGGTTGGAATCCCAAGCGCGGCAGCAAATCTCTTCGCATGCGGTGTCCAAGAGACGGCTCATGTCAACCTCCGTCTCCCACCAAGCCCAGCACCAGTGCTTGTCAGTTCCACGTGCTTCCGCGATCTCATCTTCCGGCCTAAGGAGCTCGGTGATCTCCCAAGACTTGCCGGAATCCAAGGAGATCTCGGCTCGGATGATCTTGTGACCTCCACCGGTGTAAGCGTATCCGGAGACCTTGATGGTCTTGGGCAAGGTCTTCTCTTCCACAAAGGAGTTGTGACGCGGCTCGAACATCGCTGAGTTGACGTTCATGTGGTTGATGATATACTCAGGCTTGTACCACCATCCCTCTGCATAGGCAAGATCTGCATCAACATGCGGGGGAAGCACTCGGTTGTCGAAGTAGTGATAGTGGTTCTCGGAAGGCTTGTCTGAGACCCACATGCTAGAGAGCCATTTGATCATCCGGCCACCGATGCAACCCGGCAGCAGCGTTCGCAGAGGAAAGCCATGGTCCGGGGTAAGCATCTCTCCGTTCTGCTTGAAAGCCAGCAGCACATCTCGCTCCCTGTCAAGCGCCCAGCCCAAATCAATGGAAGTGCCATAGGATCCCGTTTTCCCCTGAGGCAACTCACCCAGAGGACCTTCGAAATGGACGAAGCGATGCTCTTTCGAAGGCCGTGTGATGCCAACTGCTGCCAACAAGTCGCACAGGCGGACTCCTGTCCACACAGAGTTTCCAACGGCTCCGGCTCCCCAATCAAATCCCACTGTCTTCTTGGTGAGGTTCTGCTCCTTGCGCCTGTTCCCGGCACAGATGAAGGTCACTGGGATCGACACAATGGTGCCCCATTCACCAGACGTGAGTTGCTCCATGCTCAGCTCCATTGGCTTTGGCACTCCCGTGATCTTCAGCCGATGCTCGGACCAGGAGAGCTGTGGCACTGCTCCATGGTTTCGAACCACATACAAAGCAGGGGGCGTAATCCAACCAGCTGCCTGCAAGTTCTTGAGAGGTGGCTCCGAGTTGAAAGGATGCATACCAGTGTTGCGCAGCATGTCCGGATGACGCTTGATCCACTTGTCCGGGGTGTTGGCATCCCGTGCATCGACTTCAGTAGCATCCTGACGACCGGGCATTTCCAAGCTAGTGTCCCAAAGATTTGTGGACAGCGCTATCCGGCCATCCAGGATCGTGCCGTCCCTTGTCGCCTCCATTGTGTCGCTGAGAAGCTAAGCTAAGGCAGCTAAGAGTCTTCAGCCAAAATGGCTACGGTGCAGGGTACACTGTCAATTGGGGTCGCCGGGGCGATATTGTAAGTGGCGGGTCGAGGCTGTAGGACTTCGGGCCTTTTTGAGCTTAGGTTTCGACTCGAAGGAAGCAGCGATCACTCCGGTGCAGGCTCTGCTCTTACAAGGCACTGCTACCCGCTGTTGCAAGAGAGGCTCCGTGTCCACGGGAAACAGACGTGGAAAGGGCTCGAACAGGAATGTCAGAAAGGGCAAGCTGTCCTTGGGTCCGGCAGAGAAGGTCCCCTAAATCCCAAACTCTGAAGCGCAACTAGCCTTAGCCTATCAAACCCTTCTACAACCACTACAAAGCAATATACAACCCTTGCTTCTTGAGGCCTAAAGAGCACCGAAATTTGGCTCAGCCACTGAGCGTGGCAAGTGAAGGTCCTTCGAGACCTCAAGGAAACTCAAGGAAGCCAAAAGAGACTTTTTGGGAGATCGTTACTTGCTGTATTGCTTGACCGGGAAAGGCTTCGGGCTTAGGGCTTGGGGGGCTTTACGCTCTCACAACGCAAGACAAGCCAGGCGAGGTCTACCAGGAGGGCTACACTGTGCCTGCAGACTTCAGAAAGTGCTGGCGAAGGGCCCAGGAGCCATCCTCCAATCGGATGCAGGCTTCCAGGTAGTAGTTCCCAAGGAAAAAAGCGGTCACCGCAAGAAGGAAGCAGAGCCGGGCTGGTATGATGTAGCCTTGTTTTTCACTTGGATGGCAAAGACTTGGCTAGAGCTGGCTCTCTGTTTGGCAATGTGTACTCCGAGCCACCATAGAGACCCGGTGAGAACCAGTTCCTGGGGCGCAGTGTTGTCCACATCTGAGAAGAGAGGCACAAACTGTATGGAGACACGGTTTTCGGAGCCCTGCTGTGCACTTTCAGACTTCTTCTTATTCTTGTTGAGAGGGTCGTAGGTGTGTGGTACCGTAGTTTGGTGCAGGCAGAAAGCCAGCAGGCAAATGTACTTGACGTGACCCGGGTCACGTGCCTACGAGGGTTCCGCAGACTCGAGATCCGGCACATGTGACTTCCGCCCGCTCCTCTTTAAGTTGTGGAAAACTTATAGCGATTGGTGGACTGAAACATGGCAATCACTGTACAACTTCATGCAGGTTGAGTTCAGCCTCCTGACAGCAGTCCAAGCATCCAACGCTTGCCCTCCTCGTGCAAGACGAAATCCTTGGAGTTCATCGCAGGTGACATTATCCGGCAAAAGAGGTTGCCATGTATGGATACTTAACATGTTACTCTACACGGCCAATCCAATAGAAACCAAGAACCAGGAGAGACGTACAAATTGCTGCAGCCTGGAAAGGCGGGCGGTGATCTAGGCATGCAGAATTGGAGCTGCCTGGGAACGGTCCCGGGGGTTCGACTCTCACACTCGCACAAAGCCGGCAAGGCTCCACATAACATAGTTCTGCCTCTGGTGCATACTACAGAGAGAGAGAGAGACAGAGAGAGAGAGAGAGAGAGAGAGAACGGGTACTTATAAGTTCTCTTGAGCAGCATTCTAAACCCTGAAATCTTGCCTAGCGATACCGTTGCCTCGGCGAAACGCAGACCACCAAGCAATCGAATCAAGCTCAATGCAAGCAAAGCTCATCTTGCAAAGAGATCTGTTGCGGCTTGGCTGAGGGACAGCCCTCCAACATTTCCTCAATTGCTCGAGCTGCTGCCGCATACAGTGAGGAACACGTGATGTCTTCGAAATGCTCTTGATGCCTGAAGATCGGCTGTGTGCCTCATGTCTTTCTGATATTGTGAGTGGTGAGCTGTATGGAACTATTCAGCCCAGAGAGCCTCCGAACTGTGGTCTCAATTGTTCGACGCTCAGAATTTGCCGACTGCTATAGCCGGTGCAACCGGGTATTGAACTCGTTAGCCGCCGACTGCCCGGCATCAAATCGTCGGAAATGGACCGGGAACCCGCAACCTCTAAGATTTAGATGCAGGCAGGCGTCAAGGATAGCTTTTGTTTGGTTCGGCAGCATCGACATCCTGCAAAGGAGTTCAACCGAGGTTCGGCTGCAATGTTGGCGCAGGCCATAGAAAGCAGACCGCTCACCAACACGGATCTTAGGCGCAGCGGTCGTGAGCTCATCCAGGTTCAGGATGAACGCAAGTGCCACGCAGTTGATGATCATGTCCTCCAGGTGTGAAGCTAGCAAGCACAACTTCCGTAGCTGCAGATGTTAAGCCTGGATCTGGGCTGCCATGCTTGTAGAGGCCATGCCTCAAGCTTACTTACGACCTCGGGCTGTCGGTGCAGTAGCTCCTCTATCTCGGAAGTCTCCATGAGGAAAACGATGCCGATATCAACAGTCAATATCCATATGTACCTTGTTGGTCTTATGTTGAGAACTGCAAGCAGAAAGAGAATCAGGGAAAGTCCAAACTTCAATTCAACCGCGCCAGCTGAACGTGTGAAACCACGAAACTGCTTGGACATATGTATGAACAGGATGACTCCATCGCCAGTAGGCCGAGTTGCCTCTCTTGAAAAACAGCCCCTTTCTGACACAAGGGCTACTAAGTTCCTCCAATGGTTCTATACGGGTTAAGAGTTACTACTACGCCTCAATGAACGAAATACTGCCAAAGCTGCAGTGCCACTGTATCGGCTCGGCATGCGGTGGAGCAAGCTTACATGTAACTTACATGTAGACTTCTGGCCACGACCGGTGAACCATGCACGTGTCTGGCTTAGGCAAAGTACATCTTCGGGCACAGGATCAAGAAGAAGTTGATGATTTTCCTGGCACGACGTGTACGGCCAGAATGCCATTGAGGGCGCTGCTTCCCCACAACGAAAATGCTTGCAAAGCCCTTTGACGCAACGAGTAGCCAATGAAGTGGAACACCTGCGACTCCTCAGCGTTGTTCTGGCCCGTCATGCTTGGCTTGCAGCTTCGGGTGAGCCTGCTCTCTACTCTCCCACCGGTAGATGTATGAAGTTTGTGCATGAAGTTTTGCCTCAGCCTGGCCCCTCCGCAAGGAAGCATGGCCATTACCAGGGTTCGGATCACAGGCACAAATCGATGTGCGGAGATGGCTCAAGTCATCCGTCTTGCAACTTACGGGAAAGACGAGGATGTGTACATTGATGGGCTTCGTGAGCCTTGAGATTGGGCCCAGGCCTGTAATCTATGGCTGGCTCGTACGGTCATTTAGATGATCTTCCTCAATAGCGTACATTTGCACTTGCAGCAGGGTCCTGTCGTGTTGAATAATACTCCGAGTCATTGCCGCATTGTTACAGCTACGCCATCCCCCCCTGAAAGCCTCATAACCTTCAAGAGATGCTATGCCGAGGCAGGTGTCGGAATCGAACAAAGTCCATGCGCCAGTCATCAGGATTGTCATCACTGTGCTCTCGCTTACGCAGCTCCTGCGGGAAGGCACGGACTGTTAAAAAGCCTTGCCCAGTGATGTACTTCCATGTCATGCCGGGCCCCCTTATAGTGTCCACGACGTCTACGAGGCATGGCATAAGTTAGCAACCCCTCGCCTCCCAGTTCGTCTCCATGATCCATGGTTCCGCTTTCGTCGGCACACCGATCAGGAGCGCCAGTATGTCCTGAGCTTTCAGCTGACTGGCGATTCAGGTGCAATGACTTCATGGCATCCGGGAACAAAGCTGTGGCGATCCGGGGGAGGTGGCTGCAAGGTTTTGGAATGGCTGTCAGGTTTCCCAGGAGCCAGCGAGATCTGGCCAAAGACCCAGCACGAAGATGAAGCAGCAAATCATTCGGAGGTAGTAGCCTCAGGTGTGCGCTTTAATCGTTGCATGACCGAAGATCAGCGGCGAGTGGCCAAGGTGCTGCAGGCGGTGCGCACTAGGGTGTCCACGAGTGAGTGGGTGGGTGGGTGTGTGGCCGGGCGCAGTGTGGCTCGTGGCGCCATGCACAGGCCATGCACGGACAGTTGTCAAGTGTGGTAGGAAGGAATGATCCACATGTAAACTTTTCATGGTCATAGTCATGATATATAGTGTTACAAGCACCTGCCAGTAGGCACCGAGCCCAGCAAAGTAGAATGTAGAACATGTAGGGGTGATGAATTCGGTGGCCGGCTCCAGCTCAAGCGAAGCAGCTCTCAAGGCCATATTCTCCGGGATCCACCATCTCCTGTAACAGGACACTGGGAGCACGACTTGCCAGGGCCAGGATTCAGTCACCAGCCCACCTCGATGTCCTCTGCCCTGTCCTCAGAACACAAGGGATTTGTCCCGGAGCCGGCCGACTGCTGGGCGGAAGATTGGTGCAGGAGTGGGCGGGCTCCTCTCCTGTGTCCATGATGCCTCTGCTCTTCTACATCCTCGTACATCCTCGTTGATGTGCAAGAACGACTGACGAGGATGAAGGCATCGACACGAGGCACGATGTTGTTGTTCATGGCAATGAGGATGATCATCATGATGATGGTGGTGGTGGGGGGGATTTCGCTGACCCATGAAATGTGTGTCATGGTGGCGATGGCGATGGCGACGACGACGATCGTGATCAATAACCACCACCACCACCACCACCACCACCATCTCGAATAGGTTAAACACAACCGTGAACAGATCAAGACTGTGGCGGCCAACCATCATCATGTTCTTCTTCATGGTCACCCCCACCATCACCACCACCACCACCACCACCACAATCATCAGCATGGTATCGCTGGCGCTGCCGCTGGTGCTGTATTTGCAGCGGCGATTGCTTGATACTCTTGCCCTAGGCCTCACCCATCTAAACCCTAGACATGGCTGGATTTTCTTCTATCAGTCACCAAGGTGCTGGGAACAGAGCCTTGAAGGAGTCCCGAACGAAAACTCGGGTCGTCCAAAGCTTCCAATCGTACAGACGCTCCTTACTTCGCTGAATCGCTTCTCCAACCCAGCTCAAAGAACATGTTGCTACGTCATATAGCCTGCAAATCGGACAGGAATACCGGCACATTGCACACAAGGAACAACATCTCCGGTCGGGCGGACAAGGGCCAAGGGTGGATAGAAAACGAAAGAAAGAGGATGTTTTTCGCTGCCGTCGTTTTGTCTACAGGTCTTTCTGTTTCCGCCTGGTTCCCAAGTTGCCCCCCTTTTTTTCCTTCCTTCAACAGCATTGCCGCCGCCACCACCATCACTATTTTACATCTTCTGCAGCCGCAGTCTATCTTTTGCTGCCGCGTGGTTGGCACGATGTGCTTGCTGGAAACCCTATGCTAGAGACAAGTTGGACCGTACCAGAACACCCAAGGAAATTTGCTGAGCCATGTTCCTTTGGCTCCTGTGCCAGTCGAAGGCCCCGCCCCTGCCATTTGACCAAAACGGTGCTGAAGATTCTCCAAAGCACAGGTGTGTAAGCCGTACCGCCAGGTCCGATACAGTTCTTGCCCTCTGGACACTCTCCGGAGTGCGCGCCTCGGATGGAGCAGCGAAAATCGACGAAAGCTGCGCTCAACTCCCCGAGCCGAGAGAGCTCAGCTTCGCCACTCAACTGATGGGTCCGAAGCCGAGCATCCGAAGTCACAGAGGTGCATCTGTCCTCCGAACTTGTCCTTACACCCACCGGACCATGACAAGACAGTGTCGATGCGGTTCCCTACAGCTCACATAGGACATCGCCACGAACAGAATCATGGAACTTTACTTCCAAACATCCTTTTAATTGACCCGAAAGGTCTGAATCAGGTTCAGGCTCCAGTGTTCGAAGCTCCTTCGACAGCATGTAAAGGAGAAATCCTTGAAGAAGAAGATTCGTCAAAAGAAACATCATGCCTCGGACGCCATGATCTGAAGCAAAGTGGTTCAGTGGGTCTTCTCTTCTTAACCAAACAGAAAAAGCCGTCGAAAGTCGAGCCTTGGCCGAGTTTCTGTGGCAGGCAAGGCTTGTGTATTCCAAACTCCACCCCGCAGTGCGAGCGACCTGTGGCAAAGCCAGCGCTGCTCCGTAAACGGAGTCGTTCCTCGGGCACTTGCTCTTGCATCCCGACTCATTGAAGACGAGAGCCATGCAAAGTACGGCTTGGCACTTCTGAAGGAATCTTGCGTTCAGCTGCATACTGTTGAGTTTCTGCATGCGACTGCTCAAAAAGCGGCTTGCGCAAAGCTGTAAGTGCTTCATTTTTTCCAGCAGGGGCGCTCAACGGTGATAAGCAACCTGAATGGGCAGGCGCTGCACTGCCAATTCGAGGGCCCTATCTCTGCCCTTCGTTCAAGCAAGTCACTTGGCTCTCTCGTTGAGTCTGCGCAGTGCCCTGCCTGCGAGGACTTGCACCTCAGCATGCAGGAAATGGGGTCTACATGTCTAGCACAGCCGGACAGCTCTGAGTCCCTAGCCCTCTGCTCCTGTGGCGTCAGCTTCTTCCATTCCTGTGCTTTTTTACAAAATCTCAGAACGACGAATCCGAAGGAGCCAGCCCACGGCCTTGCAAACCGCTGCCGAAGCCAAGGCGCAATTCTGACAGACTCGGATGCCCCGACGGCCGTGCCCTTCAAAGAGCTCTGTGCAGCGCTGGGGTAGTTCTGCAGGTGCTGCGATGAGCCCGAACCTGCCAACACACCACAAGAGCCGGCGTTAGTTCTTCGACATGTGGCAAGCTGATTTGTGCATTCATTCCTTCACATGGAGCGGTGACAATGCATCTGAGATTCTGCCATCCTCCACATCATCAATGCTCTCCTGCGATAGCGTCGCTGCACTTCGACAAGGCAAAAGATGGCGAGATGAAGGAGCACAGGCAGCGCATTGTGCAAACCTCCTGGTCGCTGTCAGCATCGGGGACGAGCTTGTAGCCATCTTTCCTTCTTGTGACGCTGCACCAGTTGACACTTCACCACTGTGGACCGCTACAGTAGGAGTCTTCTCGGACTCTAGCTGTCTGAACTTTCGACTGGGACAAGCTCAAGAAGGGAAAGCCTGTGCGGCAGCCTCTAGAATGCATACAACGTCTTTGAAGTCAACGGCAACAGCTCCAAATCCCGAAAGAGGCTCGGCTGCAGCTGGGCATCTGGTCGGACATTCAGGCGCGCCCAAGTTCATTCATATTGACAGCGCCAGGATCCGGCTTACGAGCTACATTGTCTGCTGCAGCAGCTTGACACGCCAGCTTTACAGTAGCAACGGCTGCAAAGCCAATCTGTAAAAACTCTTTGGGTTTGTACGTCTGTCTGTCCGCTGTCTGTCTGTCTGTCTGTCTGTCTGTCTGTCTGTCTGTCTGTCTGTTTCTCGCTCTCTCTCTCTCTCGCTCTCTCTGGTTCT